TGCAAAGGCCATGTGAAACAAAGGCAAATAGCCAAATGAATTGTAAGGGAGAGGGGAAAGCTGAATGCCTGGGATGGTTTTGCTGTGGAATGGCCTCCAAGAGCAGTAAGAAACAAACAGGAAAATGAGGCTAGAATAACCTGCCTAAGGAAAAAAGTAAACAAATAGATTTTCAAGAAGAAAGCTACCTGGAAAGAAACAGAATTGAAAAAAGCAGGAAGCAAATGAACAAAAAAACAAACCCTCTTCTGTTGAAGCACTAGGGTGTTGGGGCAAAAAAGCCTTCACAAATATTCTGTAAATATTGCATCAAAGAAGTACTGAATTCTATCATCCGTTCTCTTCTTGGAGAAAAATGCCTTAAAGGACTCTAGATCTTGGCTATCTATAAGGGTCAGAAAAGTACATTACAAAACTTTTTTATTTAAAAAAAAACTAACAAAAAAAATTGGCTTTGTTTTCAATTATTTTAGATATTTATGTGTTCTTCTCTGATGCAAGAGGAGTATCGACTTCAACTATCATTTGAAAATACCTGGCTCTGTTGCTTCACAAAGACTTTTTATTTTTTTTATTTTTTTTTCTTTTCCTAGGACAGGGCTGGTTATATTCTAACAGGTTTTTTTTTTCTTTAAATAACTATATTTTTTTAAAAAATTAGCGATCGCTCCAGAAGGAATCAAAGAAAAGAAAAGAAGAAAACAAAACAACACAAAGACCAAACAGAGAACAGCAACCACCACCACCCTGCCCTGTTTTACAGGCCGTCCGTCGGGGCCCCCGCGGTGCCCCCGCGCTGCGCTGTCGCGGTGCCGCCATCGGGGGGCAGCACCGGCGCGGCGCCCGCCCCACGGTGGGGGGGAAGGGGGGCGAGGGGCATCCCGGGGCTTCCCCCTCCTCACCCCGGGAGCTGCGGCTGCGCCACCGCCGCCGACGGGTTTGGGAGGCGGGAATGCGGGGAGGAGGGGGAACCAACCCCAATAATGCGAAAAGCGTTCACACACAAAAGCCGAACCAAAATAAAACCTGCACCAACAAAAATAGCTGTTCCAGGAAGAGAGTCCTGGTGATTGCGAAGCGCTGACGCATCTCAGCCCCCAGTGCGTAATTTTTCGCAGCGGAGGGGCGGGGGGAGCGGCAGGAGCTGGTCCGCACCCCCCGCACGCCCGCAGCCCTCCGCCCAGGCTGGCAGCTTTACCAAAGGCGGCGATTTCCGCGGCAAACGGGAGGCAGCGAAGGCCCCTCCAAGGGCGGTGGGAAGGGCCAGGGGTCTGCCCCGGGGACCCCAAACCGGCAGCCCGGAGCATCGGCCGTCCTGGGGACACGCTGCTGCATCCAGACCTGTTCCCAAACCGGCCTTTTTGTGCGTTTACCTGCCACAGGAAAAATTGTCTCCTTTTTCAGACCACGGGAAGTTTGCTCAGGGTTTTTTCCAAAACGCTGCCAGTGTATCGGCCTGCCTGTGGGCTGCGGGGTTCTGAACCTGCCGCTTGAGAGACGAATTTTGAGGAAGAAATGACCCATATGCAGAAAAACATCCAAGGCTTAGTAAAAAAATAATGAACTGAAAATAAGGCATGCTCCAGACTTTCCTTTATTCCCTTCCCATAAAAGGATGTACAAGCTAATGACACCAACATTGTTTCAGAATATATTTCAAATAATTAATAAAAGTAGTAGTAGCTTCAAGAATTACTGAATATGCCCAAAGCTGCATAACTGTACCCCCTATTTATTTAACCTGTAATTCCCTAGAAATCTCTGGGTGTAATACTCACTGAAACAAGTAACCTTCACTTAAGAAAGAAGTATTTTTAGAATCTATGCTTTCTGAATATCTTTTCCTCAGGTACAAAGCCACCCATAATTGTTTACTCAGGACCGGAGGGTGGGGGGGGTGGCATTGGCAGCCCCAATTTAAGGTAATTGGGCAACTGTATCCCTTAGTGTTACTCTCGCTATAGAGGACTAAAGCCAGCTGTTAGGAGTTACTAAATGAGTAGTATCAACAAAGAATTTTGTAAAACTATTTGGAAGGAAGGAGAGACCATCCTTCCAAATAACACAGACTTCTCTACTGGGCAGTCATGGTACATTACCACTCAAAGGAGTTGAGAAAGGGTAATGAAAAAGAAGTTGATGGGAGTTCATGTCCTCTTACAGTAAGGTTATGAAATATATAACCAGAATGACACTGTATCAGAAGTATGCAAATAAATGTACCAGGGTATAAACTGACTTCACTTGTTTATGTAGAAGTTCAAGGACATCAAAATATAAATCACTCTGTTTTGTTGGAACAGATAACTGTACTCTTGATAGTATAAGAAAGTGTTGCTGATGTACATAATCTTTCTCTGCGCTTTTTTCCCATGGCTTCACTACCATCAGCTCTGTGATCCTGGCAACAGGTAGAGGGCAACAGCCAAGCCAAACATCAAACACATCCCTTTCAACTGTTACTTCTTATCCTGAAAGTGAAAGATACTTAAAAATGAGATTTAGACTAAGAACAAACAAAAACATATTTTTAAAGGATGTCACAAATTTTGAAATTCAACCTACTCATGCATCCAGTCTCTCAGAAAGTGTTTTTTGAGTAACTAGGTGTCTTTCGGCAGTATTTAAATATAGCTACATATTTAAAAGGCCTCGTGTTTCAATCCCCCCTAATGTAGAGGCCCATGTGTGGAACAAACAACAACAAAAAAAACCCAACTGGATCCTGTATGTGTTGGGCTTGTAGAATCAAGCTTCCATGTGTAACTAAACCCAGCTGCATGCCCCTAGAAGTAATAAACAATCATTTAACTATTATTCAAATAGCCTTCCCAAGCAAAATTCACTAGTGGCTTGAGAAGTTCATTGTTTGAAAAACAGCATTGCAGGCCACTGATTAGCATCCATCCATAGAGTTCGGTAAGGAAAACATGAAGTTTGAATATATTTATACATAAATGCATAACTGTCATTATCACACTTCTTTTTTTTTTTTTTAATTATTATTATTTTTTTAAAATTAGCTAAGGAACCCTGAGTGCCTTGTGAAATGTGCAATCAGTAGGGCTCTGTGCCGGTAAAACTGTATTTGCTATATCTAAACTTCATTGTCAAAACAAGGTTGATAATTTTCTAGGCATGCCTCTGCAGTTTAGGGTGGACAGAAGTAACATTTTATGACTGACATAACTGATGCCCCTCAGATAGATAGTATATTTTGATAAATCTGACCATTGCCCAGCACAGTTTATTTTTCTTGGAGGAAAAAGTAGATGGCTAAAGCATGGTATGCTGGCAAAGGCATAGTTTAGCAGGCAGGAAAGATGCTAATATTAACACTATTTGGTTGATCTACTTTCCGTATTAGCAAAGTATTCCCAGCTGAGACCTCAAACTAAAGGATAAATGTAGTGAAATAGATGGGGAAGGGTGGTATGACAAAAGAAAAGGAATGGGATGGTAAAACAGGATAATTTTTCTTTCATTGTGATGGAATTATTCTAGAGGGCAATTTAAGCAAACATCCTCTGGCAGATCTGTTGCAGTTACTGGAGATGATGCTGCCTCTCCAGTCCACCTCTATGTTCTGCCTGGAGTTGCTTGGTGGAACAAGGATGCATACATTATGCTCAACCATCCCAATTCACAGCCCTTTGTATCTCTGAAAAGCCACTTATTCAGAAAAATAAAGCTAACATCCTACACGACACTTAGGAACAGGTGAATGGTAAGACATGGCAGCTGTAGAACCTCTCACCTGTAGCTGAGAGCAGGGAGGGACAAGTGGTGTTAATGCATTTCTCGTAATTAAACGCCCCTGTAATTACAATGAAATTAGGGCAAAAATTTTTCAGAAGGGATATAGTGTTGAAGAGCATTTCAGGGGAGTTCAGAGAAAACTCTAAGACAGATCACCTATGCAAACTGGGGTCATTCATTCCAGAGTGTTGGTCATGAAGCAATAGGACTTTTTAACCTGAATTTTACATACCCCCGAGTCCCACTTCCTGTGTTCTGTACCCTGGTTATGCATTAAAAACCAAACTCCAAACATAATATGGAAGAAATAATACTTGTTATGAATTGGCCACTGCTAAAAATGAGCTACTAAAGATGTTTCTTATATCAAAGCCAATAGAGAAATAAGAAGTATAAACTGCAACCTTGGATTCTAGTCTATCCTAATGCCTTTGTCACATATATTGTTTGCAAACCTAGTTCTGCTGCTATAGCAAGTATATCAAATGTATATTGTCCACATTGTCAAGAATAACAGATATAAAAATATTGTGTAGGTGAATTATTATTAATTTTTTTTTCTTTTTTACACTTCAGACCTAAGGATGCTTGCCCAAGGTCACCAATCATATTTCACAAATATCTGGAAAAATCTTTCCATATTCCCAAGGCATTTACAGACAAAAGTTTGTGTTTATGGGCCCAGATCAGTCAAAGTGGCAAGAAATTGTTCAGATAACTAATTTCCTTATAACTTCAGTAGTGTGAGTACAGGAGATAGTCTGGACCGCTACAGCCACAGCCAGAAAATCAGCTATTCCCCAGTTTTCATATGAAAGTGTCCTCATTGAAATCTGTTATGCAATCGTTACATATAATCTAAATTTACAATTACTAATTCTATGCATTTGTCCAGATATGGAAATCAAAGAACATTACCAGGACAGTAAAGGTTGTCAGCATCATTTTCTGTGATGAATCATACAGGTAGACAGAGGTCACAGGTACCTTCCCCAAGGTTACACTCTTTTCTTGCTCTTTCGGAGAGGTCAGTGCCTCAGATCTCAAATTACTTCTCTAACTCCGCCTCCATCCACTTAAAAAAAAAAAAAAATTATAAACCCAGGTAACTGCTGCCTCGTATGTATGTAAATGTTTTCCCGTAAGAGGAAGGGAGAGGTCTATCTTCAAAAGTTGCTTTATTGCGACGTACCGGTATTTACAGCGAGGTGGTCTTTTCCAGTCACACTCCCCCCTCCCAGTTACAGATGTTGATTTCTTAATGGGTTATTATGACCCAAACCGCGCAGAATTTCGGGCAGGATGGAGCAGAGCGGCGGCAGCGGTGCGGGCTGTGGGCGGCCCCGCCGCCTGCTCCGCCGGGAGCACGAGGAGCGCTCGGCCGCGGCCCCGCACAACGACAGCCGCAGGCGCCGCATCACTTTCGTATTTTTTTTCCTTGTTTGTTTGTTTGAGTTGTTGTGTTGTTTGTTTTTCCCCTCGGCTTTACACGCAAACCCGGTTGCTTCAGCTTCCTCGCAGGACGACAAATGAAAGCGTGTCCCGACGGCACTGACCGGGGGGACGAGAAAGCGCGGATGGATGTTCGCGTGACCCCAGCCTCGGTTTTCCTCCTGGGCATGTGCAAAGGGAGGCTTCCCCGCGCCGTTCCCGAGGCGAGCGGGGATGCGGCTGCGTTAGGAGCAGGCTGGACGGTTTTAGTACAGCCTCTTCCCTCCATCCCCCGGCTTTCCTATCGCTGCCCTCCCCGCATCACGCCGCGTGCTTCGTGAGGCGCCGCGAACGCCCTCACCGTGGGGCGTTAGGCCGGCATCCCCGCCCGCAGACCCCCTCCCGGGCCCCTGCGCTTCCCCCTCCTTCCCTCCTTCCGATCCCGCCGCACAGAGAAAAATGCGGGCTACGGAGACCCCCGCCCCTCCTGCCGCCCACCCCGGCCGGGGCCCCTCCGCCGTTCACCTCCCCCCGAGAGCGGGGAGAGAAAGGCTCCCATTGATCCCGGGGCGCGGCCCGCCTGGTGACGAGCGTGCGGGTCCGCCGTAAACAAGCGAGACACCTCCGCCCCCCGCGGAGCCCCTGCGCGCCCGGTGAAAGCGCGGGAGCGGCGGCAGCGGGGGGAGGCAGGAGGAGCAAGGAGGAGGGGAGAGCGGGGAGGAACGGGGAGCAGGGAGGCGGGGGGACCGGGGGCCGCTTTGCCCCCGCCGCCGCTCGCTCCGTGATCGCCGGTCTGCGCTCCCCCGGGGGGCCGGGACCGTTTCCAGAGGAAACGCGGATGCTGCCCTTATTCACCGCTACGGCGAAGCGCCCGGATAAATTAATGTTGTTTCATTAAAACCGGCTGAACAGCGGCACACACTCCCCGCGCCCTCCCTCGGTGGCATTTCCCCGCCGCACGGGGCCCCGCGGGGAGCGGTGCGGGGCGGGGGGGCGCGTGGGCGCCGGTGACACAGCGCGCGGAGGAGCGCGCGCGCGGAGCGGCCGTGCGTGTGCGGGGCGGGTGACGCACACACGCGTGTGTGCGGGGGTGGGAGGGGGGGGTGGGTGTTCAGGGGGCGCCCGCCGCGCACACGCGCGCCCGGAAGCTCCGGCGGGCGGGTCCGCAGCACCTGACGGCCGCGGCGAGCCACGCCGGCGCCCCGCCGCGTCCCGACGGGCGGCGATGGGCAGCACCTGGGCTTCGCCAGGTGTACCCGGTCTCCCATCCGTGCCCGCGCTCCCCACACGGTCTGCGCTGCCTGCGCTGAGGGCACCGGCGGGAGGGGCGCGGGAGGCGGGCCCGGGGAGGACCGGGGTGTGGGCGGGAGCGCGGAGGGGCGGGCAGGGGGTGGGGGGCGAGGCTGCCGCCGACCAATGGCGTTGCGCCTCCTCTCTCCCGAGAGCCCGCCCTGCAGTCCCATTGGCGGCCCGAGCCGTCCCTCTTGCAGCGCGGCGGCCAATGCGGGTCCGTGCCGGCGGCGCTGTTGCCCCGCCCCGTCTCGGTGTGTGAGCGCTCGGTGAGGCGGCGGTCACGTGTTGTTTTGCTCTTTAGTTGGGGCACTCGCAGCGCGATGTGTTACTTACGGCGAAACTCCCGCCGGCGCTGGTAGCACCAGCGGCAGCAGCGGCGGCCCGGGAGCGGCAGCGGCGTCGCCGGTACCTGAGCCGGGAAGGACGCCGGGCGGCCGCCGGCAACACCCGCTGCCTAGAAGCGACAGCGGAGGACCCCGCTGTGGCTCCAGGCAGCCGTGTTCTTCTACGGAGGAATAACTTGATTTTACCGGCTTCTCTCTATTCTTCCTATATTTTTTCTTTTTCTTCTTTTTTTTTTTTCCCCGCGGCGCTCAGTTCCCGGATCCGGTCGGCGTCGGTGGCAGCAGCGAGAGGAGCCAGGCGGTGCTCCCGGCGCGAGGCTGGGGATGGCGAGCCCCGCCGTGCTGGGGCTGCTGCCCCCCCTGAGCTCCCCGCCCGGCCCCAACCTGAACAACAACAACAACAACAACCAGGGCGTGAGGAAGTGCGGGTACCTGCGCAAACAGAAGCACGGCCACAAGCGCTTCTTCGTGCTGCGCGGCCCGGGCGGCGGCGGCGGGGAGGAGGCGGGGGGCGCCCGGCTGGAGTACTACGAGAGCGAGAAGAAATGGAGGAACAAGTCTGGGGCACCCAAGCGGGTGATCGCCCTGGACTCCTGCCTCAACATCAACAAGCGGGCGGACGCCAAGCACAAGTACCTCATCGCCCTCTACACCAAGGACGAGTACTTCGCCGTCGCTGCCGAGAACGAGCAGGAGCAGGAGGGCTGGTACCGGGCTCTCACCGATCTGCTCAACGAGGGCAAGGCGGCCTGCCAGGGGTCCCCCCACCGCCACCTCGCCTCCCCCTTCTCCGCCTCCTGCGGCGCGGCCGCCGCCTCTCTGGCCGCCGCTGGAGAAGACCTCAACTACGGGCTCATCGCGCCGGCAACCGCTGCCTACCGGGAGGTCTGGCAGGTGACGCTGAAACCCAAGGGCTTGGGGCAGAGTAAAAACCTCACTGGCGTCCACCGGCTCTGCCTCTCGGCC